ACTTGATTTGAATGATTGCTTGTGCAGTAACGCATTACTTCAACCACAAACATTAGCTCCATCTAGGTATGTCCTAAGTTAAGTTTTTTTTAACTTTTGACAATCGACATACAAAATTGTACTCCTACCTATTCGAGGGAAAAAAATTATATCGACTTACTTCATCATGTAAACTAACTTTATTTTTATACATAACTGTTTCCATTGAAAGTAATATCTTTTTATGGATTCTTGTCAAAGTTTTAAAATTTGACTTAGGAGTTAGGACAAACCTAGATTCACTTATACTTGTGATTAGAAGAGGTATATGAAATAAAAATAGTGAAAGAAATAACTACCAGGCCTTTCAGGGTTTAGGTTGCTCCGGCGGAGGGAAGTCTTTTGATCAATTATCTTTTTATATTCTTCAAGGCGGGCCTCCTGCATATATAGAGTAAAAGAATTTCAGGATCAGTGAGCAGGATCCTGATGTTTATGAAACTTGAATTCAATACCCAGACAACTAATGGAAACAGGTATAGGTAACACAAGTTTTAAATTACAAAGGTAAATCCACTCAACCCGCATTCAAGGGTCCAATTTTAAAAAGTTGCCTTAAGATAGGATACTAGAAACTGACAGACAGAAAGAAATTTTCATTCGTGGAATGCTTTCACATAGACACATGCTCTGACCAGAATAGTTTGTTGATGGAGATAGGTCCAAGATTTGTCTTTGCCCAAGTGGGCAGATAACTGCTACTGGTGACATTTGGTTGGTTAGCTCCATGACTAGAATTCATGGTATGCAATGGTTACTAGTGTCAATATAGTGCTCTGTCCCACACCCCTCTCATCATTCAAGCACTCTAGGCCATAAAATATAAGTTAACCAGCTGCATATAGTTAGGTCAAAGTTTTTTTTTTTTTTTTTTTTGAGGAGGGGTTAATCAAAGTTAACCAGTGTTCCCAATTGAATCCACAAGCCTTTATTATGGCAGGTCTATCAAATGCCCAACCGATTCTAGGCATGGGCGCATGGCAAATAAAATCCCAATCCTCTTCCTAACTAATTTTTAGCCCTATCAGTGCCAGGATCTACCAATGAAATAAGATTAGACGGGACTAATTTACCAATATCATTAGGTGGACAAAATTACAAGGCAGAACGGTAGGATAACCATCAACAATAAAATTGTGAGTTATCAATGACAATAAACATCATTTATCCATGAAATATTTAATAAAGGAGTAGAGGTCTCAATTTACCTCATCATCCTGTTTGCTTTGGCGCACATCATCATCTTGCTTGGTATCAGTTCGGTTCTCACTCTGAGCATTGTCCATTTTGTTCTTCAGAGCGAAAACCCAGAACTATCCAACACGATATGCACTACCAAAATAACCTCAGTATCTGTTAATGGAAAATAGTAAGCCACGATCACTACAAACAAGGGGTGGAGCCAATAAAGGACATGGGTGTACACATGTATATACCCTATAATTTTTGCAAAAAAAAAACGAATTTAATACGCATAATACATGTATATGCTTGTAATTAGACCAGATCCGAATACAAATAGCCAAATAGCGTAAGTTAGGGTTTGCGTGATTGGTTTCGTACGGCAGGAAGGGCAGATAAGGGGTGGGCATACAGGGTTGGTGCTCCTCGCCGGCGAAGGGCCCGATGAAGACCTGGGCACGCGTGGGGCGGCGTCGGCGGTCACCCAATCGTAGTAACAAGGGAGGGAGAGAGAGAGGGAGCACCCGTGAACTCGAGAAGAGAACGCGGGGGTGAACAGGGAGCACACTTGAACTCGAGTAAGAGAACGCAGGGGTGAACACAGTCGAGTCTGTTTGGGCGTTTGGCAAGGTCCTGTAGAAATTTGGATGGGCAAGAATCGTACCGTTTAGGATCCGCGGCCGCGTCTGCTCGAACTAATCGTACCGCCTCCTCCGGCGAGTCGCGGGTTGGGATGGCCGAGGGTGCGAGGAACGGGAGCTCGGCGGCGACGCTGGGAGGGTGACGGCCGCCGGCGCGAGGAGAGGGAGCTCGGCGGCGGCGCTGGGAGGGGGTCGGCTGCAGCGCGAGGAGGGGGGCGGGGTGGCGAGCACGGTGAAGCGAGGGGCGGCGACGACGAGGCGGGCAGCTGGGGGGCCGGCGTGCGTCAGGCAGGGACGGGGTAGGGGGGAGGTTGAAGAATCGAAGGGAGATTTCTCCCACAAGCCACAGCTCCCGGAGACCGACTACGCTTCAGCCTTGAGGGGACAGGGCCAGCATGGAATTTTTTTATTTTTTATTATGTTTTCTATATGTAAAAATGAACTGATTTTTGTAAAATTTCTACATACTTAATCCATCCCAAATTATAACACGTTTGACTTTTTTGACATCAAGTTTGACCACTCGTCTTATTCAAAAATTTGTGTAAAATATCACTTCTTTCGTCGTGGTTTAGTTTATTAATAAAAATTCTTCAAGAATGATTTAAATTTGACTATATTTGCACAAATTTTTTAAATAAGACGAGTGGTCAAACTTGGGGTCAAAAAAGTCAAACGTCTTATAATTTGGGATGGAGGAAGTACTTTTCTATGTAATTTCTGTGAAATCGTTGGGTTTTAAAGGATCCTCAACATTGAAACGATGTCATGTGAGAAATTGGAAGGAACTGTAATCGTGCTAGTGGAGGGATCAGGTTGATTTTTTTTAACTAACCTAGGCAAAAGCTGACCTAAGTATAGATTATGAAAAGAGTCACGCCACCATCACCCCTTTGATCACTTTTTTTTCATGTGGCAGCCCTCACAGTCACAGATGGTAAAGAGGAGCGAGGACATCCCTCCAGCCAACCTCGCCGGCCGTTCCATGGTTTTTTAGATTTTAGGTTAGATTGAGTAAAGCCAGTTCCATGGGCTGTCAAATATCATCATTTTCGCGGATTGCTCATCGAATTTTGGGGGATAAGCAAGTTCCTCGTTTGCATCTATGTGTTACCATCTTGCTAGATTCTGATCTCGCAGCGCCAGATTAATTGCCCCTTGATCATCTTTGACCACGAGGTCACCGGTGTTATTTCAATGTGTTTAGATGAGTCATGGGATGTTCGTGTGGTGTTGGATCGTATGGCATTTTCAAGTTATATGCTCCTTTGGCTATCATCAACATTGTTAAGTTCTAGTGAGGTGGAATTAGATAGAAGCCGTGATTTAAAGGTGAAGATTGTTATTGTTGGGCTCTGGATATACGCTAGGGTATATCTTTTTTGTCCAAAGACTTGCATGTAAATAGGGATTTCATTATGCTACCTTAATAATAAAATCCCTTCTCATTCGAAAAAAAAGTAGTCCCAAAACAGGACCTGATGTTTGTGTTCTTTATCCTGGTAGAGTATTGGCCAAAACGTCCAGGCTTGTTGATGAAACTTTTGACTTTATTTTTACTAACAAACACATTCATGTGTTGCAATGGAAATTACATTTTGCGTCTCCCATCTCAAAGAATGCTATTCTCATTTTTTTCAAAGGAGTCAATGAGCTTAAGATTATAAATATAAATATATACAGAAATAATGATATTTACATACATAATAAGTATTATTAGATGAGTCATGGAATACTTTCTCACAAGTCACAATAAACCTATTTAAAGATTGATATCTTTATAAAAACATAATTAAATTTAACATATTTTGATTTAGCCTAAATCTAAAATGACATTTTTTGAGAGACTAAGGGAGAATTTTTTAAATTTAAATAGGGGGCTCGGAGCCGTAGATTTTTGCAGAACGCGTACCGTGGAAAGGGTGCTGGTACAGGATCCCAACAAAATTTTGTGTAGATTTCCAGTTTTTCCAGCTGAAAAACTCCCATTGTCTTGCATCCGTATATACCGAATTAGTACATCGTATCCCGTTCCTCGTACCTACCTTTTCTCCGTGTGCATACTCCATTTGCTAGCCCCATACGGCATTACCGTAGCATAAGCGCTGCCCATTTTTTTCCAGCACAATAATTCTTGCTGCGTGCCCAGGCCGCTGCCCCTGCACTCGCGTGACGTATGCGTGTACAGAGACATGAATAAGCATCAAGAGGACAAGATTTCATGACGTACGTATAGCGCATCACTCCTTCCTTCTCAAAAGAAAACGTAAGTGTTCAGCTGAATTGGATTTAAGCCGCAGCTGCTACTGACACAGTAGTGCCTTACCGAGAGGCAAAGCAGCCACAGCAAGTGCTGTAGTTCTACTGAACACATCCTAATTCTCAAGAGGAGTCAAACTATTTCAATTTAACTAGATTTACACAAAATATGACAACATTTATGATTTCTCTAATCTAATGTATACTTAATGTGCATCATAAATATAAATAGGTGCGGCTCTATAAACTATATTATAAAAAAAAGTTGGTGTTGAAGGTCAATTCTAGGTGTGTTTTACGGAGCACATAAAGGGTACTTAAGGAACTCTAGATTTTTATGGAGTTATTTTACAATGGAGTTGGTAGAGTAGAGTTGATTTTGGTGGAGTAGAACAATCCTAAACAAAACCTTAATTTAAGAGAAATTTTTTGAGACCACATTTGCAGCAATAGTAAGCGAAGGGAGTTAGAGGCCGAGGGCGCTAAAAAGACACCGCCAATCATATCACATAGTTAAGGCAAGTGCACCGTCAAATTGTCACCATCTTTGATCAACAAATTCCCTAGACCAGACCAAACCAAAACAACTGCAGAAGCCCATACACAACCGAAGAACAGACGCAAAATCCAACAAGACAGGAAAAAAAGAAAGTCTAAAGACACACGTTGTAGATTGGCTTTGGCTTATATACCATGCCAACACGACCAAAACGTAAGCTCACATAGAGCACTTGGGTTACAGACACCGACACCGACTGCCCGTACGACGTTCGTTTCCCGCGCCTGGCATCCCGAGAGCCCTACAAAAAGCCGAAGCCGCGCGCGCGCGCGCGCGCCGCCGGCCCGCTGCGCCGCGCTGGCTCCATGGACATCCGGTGCTCATCGCAGCACGCGGCTGAAGACGCGCGACACGTCCGACGCGCGGACGGGCTTCACCAGGAAATCCTCTGCCCCTTCCTCCAGGCATCTGAGTATATTAGACACGGAGGGCAAAACAGGAGTTAGATGTGTAGGTATGGGTGCTGCTACGGGTACATCTTTGCTATGATGATGAGGATTGCTTATTACCTGCTGATTCTGGTGGAGACGTTCTCTGAGGACATGATCACCACTGGGATCTGCTTCAGCTCGGATGACTCCTGCATGCATGCACATATTTTTCATCAGTTAGCGATGTAAAAAGGCTCAGATTTTACATTGCAGAATGGACTAGTCGTCAGATTATTATTACCTTGACCTTCTTGAGGAGCTCGTATCCCGTCATCTCTGGCATCCAGTAATCAGTGATTATCATACTCACGTTCGGCTCCTATACAAATCCCCGTGTAAACGAACGCCAAATCAAAATCAGAGACAGAGAATTAGTAAAAAAAAACACAGTTAGTATATGACATACCGTGCCTAACAGTTCCAGGGCTCTCTTCCCACTTTCCACCGCCGTCACTGCACGATCACAGGACCAAAACAACTTACATGAAGAACTGAAAATCAAGCAGTAAAGTGCTGAAACCACAAGAGCGCCCGCCCGCCCACAGCTTGCAATGCAACAGTGTCATCACACGCAACACGCACCACGAAACCGGGAGCTCCGGAGGATGGCAGCGATGATGGCGCGGTCGACGGAGCTGTCATCCACCGCGAGGACGTGCGGCGTCGCCCCCACGCCGCCATCCCCGCCGGCCGCCGCCACGGCGACCGTTGCTCCACCGACGCTGGCCATCTCAAAGCTCGGTAGTCGCTCCGCTCACACTGCGAATAGCGCGGCGCGTGAGAAGAGCGATCGATCAGCTAGCGCAAGACCCCTGTCGACGCCGCCGCCGTCTTACTACCCAGCCACGGGCCGGCGCCGCGCGCTTATATACACGCGGGCGGCGGGGGCTTCTTGCCTGTTACGGAAGGTGGAACGGAAGCGATCGGTCAGGAGATCCCAGCGCGGCTGTGCGGCGAGTGAATCCGCGAGATCTCGATACGGGCCAGGTCCGGCCGGTGAGCTCTGATCTGATACGGGCCGATGCACACGTGCCTCGCGTTCGTGCGGCGGGGAGAGCGAGCGAGTAACGCCGAGGATCTTTTCTTGAATTCTTGCTGCGAACGGGAGGGGCACAGCGCACAGGAGACGCAGGTATTTACTCCTCCCCGCCTGGCACCGCCCAGGACAGGAGGTCTCGTCTCCTTTTCCGTATCGAAGGATCTCTCTTAAATGAGCACCTGCGACTGCGATGTGCTTGGATCGGATATCTCTGCAGACTCCGTGTGATCCATATTTGTCTGCCTGCCCATCTGATATTCTGATCAATGAGATTCAGCTGGCGAGATTATTACTAGCTTCGCATTACGATTTTACAGCTCCGTGATCCATATTTGCATTGCAGTGCATGTGCTACCATAACTCGTTTTATTTCATTCAGCACGCAGTGTTTTTTTGGCAGTGGATTTGTCGTCCTCGTAGAGCTCATGAAGACCACAGGCCCGTGACAAGGAAAGCAAGGCCACGCCAGCTCGTCAATTTGACAAAACCGGCGTATACTACTGCAGCTGTTCGCTGCCACTGACGTTTGTTGTGGGCACAGATTTTCTCGATAGATTGTTAAGAGCGGCCGTGTGCAGGCCAAGGACGGAGACGAACGCATTACGCTACGCCACCAGAAAGCTGGTATCGTAGAGCGATCTTTACATGAGCGCAACCCAAGCGATTGGGTTCGTGCAGAATCCGCCGAGCATGTACAGGGCGTAATGGAACACCCGTGGGGCCGAGCTCAGGAGTCAAATTCCTGTGCACAAACAACGTGGTTGCCTTGAAAAAAAAGTCACGGTCCTCTCTGTCTACGCCCTATGCAATAAGGTTCATGGGCCGGCCCAGGTACGACCAGATTCGCTCTTGTCTAATCAGCATAAAGTAGTATCGTGTCAGTGTGTCACACTGAATTATATCAAAGAAATTTAAAGTGCGATCACGATGGTTTAGTTCAGGATCAGTCTTTGATGTGGCGCCTATATCGGCCTGTTCGCTTGGTCGTAAACGATCGTAAATTTTCAGCCAGAACAATATTTTTCTCTCACACCAAACCAACCAGCAGTAATAATCCACGATCGTATACGATCGTATCAGCACCAGCCGAACATGCTGTATATTGATCTGACAGTACTAATTGGCACGGAGCAACTCCATGTTGTATTGAATCATACCTAACAAATTTTTAGACGTGTGTATACGTATGTTTGCATAAAGTGAGGTGGGTCCATCTATTTTAAGGAAACTTAGAGCATCTCCAAGAATTTTATGTTTGCATAAAGCGTAGTTGGTTACTAGAGGTTGAATACCTTATTGATAAGGATCCCCTTGTTCTTCAAACTAAAAGAAAGATTTGATCATCAGAAAACAGTGACCCTCCCTAAAGCTCGTTATGAGTGGTTGCACCTAAGGTTGCAAGACTATAAAAGTGTTTTTGAATACAATTCATCCATGTTTAGAATCACATCACTGTTACTGTTGTGTGGAGAGCAATACCGTGAGAAAGGATTTAAGAAATATTCTGAACTTATTTCTTGTTTACTTGTGGCTGAACAAAACAATGAACTTTTGATGAAAAACCATGAGACACGTCCAAGTGGTTCAAATCCATCCCCTAAAGTAAATGCAACAAGATATGATAATCAAAATAGTGGGAGTGGACGCGGTCGTGGTCGTGGTCGTGGCCGCGGACGTGGACGCGGGCGTGGTCGTGGATACGGACATGGTCGTGGCAGAGAAAATTATGGTGTTCAATTCAAGAACACAGGAAATTTTCATAAGAGGTAAGAAACGGGAGATAAAGATAAAGGCGAAATTGATGAAACAAAAAAATGCATGACATCGTTGTGGTGGAAGATCTCATTGGGCACGCAATTGTCACACACCAAAATATCTTGTTGATCTCTATCAAGAATCACTCGAGAAAAAGAACAAAAAGATGGAGACAAACTTTGCAAGTGATAGTGGTGATAATATTTTTGATGATAATATATTTAGTGCAACAGATATCGGATAATTTGACCACAACACCACAACTCATCTTGATGTTTCTGATTTCTTCGTCCAAGAATAAATGAGTAGTATTAACAAAGCATGTTTCATCTTATAAAGTAATAAATAAATTTGTATTATGTTTGTATTTAATTAGTATTTATTTTCATATGTTGCACTACATAATAATTGTTTTCAATAGATAGTAATTTTTATTAGTACGTTTTATTTTGAAGAGAATGGATGAACCTAGAGCTTACAAGTGAAGAAAATATATATATTGTAGATAGTGGAACAACACATACTATCTTGAAGAGTAAAATGCATTTTTCCTATCTTACATTGCAAGATGCATGTGTTCATACTATATCTGGAAGTGCTAAATTAATAGAGGACTCAGGAAGAGCCACAATAATGTTACCTTGTAGGATAAAGGTAGACATAAACAAAGCACTTTATTCCCTAAAGTCTCAAAGAAATTTGTTGAGCTTTAAAGATATACGCCAAAATGGCTATCATATAGAGACAATGTGTGAGAGTAATGTGGAGTACCTCAACATTACAAAGATATCATCAAGGAAAAAGTATGTGTTGAAAAAATTACTAAAATTACCTTATGGTTTATACTATACAAGTCTCAAAGAGAATGAGTCATATATGATGGTGGAACAGAAGTTCACCAACCATAACAATTTTATTATTTGGTATGATCGGCTAGGCCATCCCGGATCAGTAATGATGCGAAAAATTATTAATAGTTCATGCGGGCATAAACTGAAGAACGAAAAAATTCTTCAATTGAATGACTTCCCATGCATCGCATGCTCTCAAGGAAAACTGATTGTGTGCCCATCACCGGCTAAAATTGGATATGAGTCCCTCGCTTTTTTGGAGCGCATACAACGAGATATATGTGGACCATTTCATCCACCAAGTGGACCATTTAGATATTTTATGGTTTTAATTGATGCATCAACTAGATGGTCACACGTCTCCTTACTATCAACCCGCAATGTAGCATTTGCGTGGTTGTTGGCTCATATAATCAAGTTAAGAGCTCAGCTTCCGGATAATCCGATCAAAACTATACGCTTGGATAATGCCGGTGAATTTACATCAAATAGTTTCAATGAATATTGCATGTCGACTGGAATAAGTATTGAACATCCAGTTGCACATGTTCATACATAGAATGGTCTTGCAGAGTGATTTATTAAACGCCTCCAATTAATAGCGAGACCGTTACTTATGAAGTTAAAACTCCTAATGTCTGCATGGGGACATACTATTTTGCATGCAGCGGCATTAATTCGCATCAGGCCAATAAGTTATCATAGTTCTTCCCCTCTATAATTGGTTTTTGGCAAAGGGCTAGATATTTTCTATCTAAGAATTTTTGGATATGTGGTGTACGTCCCAATTGCTCCACCAAAACGCACAAAGATGAGACCTCAAAGAAGGTTGGGAATATATATTGGGTATAAATCCCCATCTATAATAAAGTATCTTGAACCATCAATGGAAGACATATTTATAACAAGATTTGCTGATTGTCATTTTGATGAGTCAAATTTCCCAACAACAGGGGGGAGAAAATAAACAGCTGAATAGAAAAATAAGCTGGAATGAATTATCGTTATCTCATTTTGATCCTCGTACAAAACAATATGAGCAAGAAATTCAAAGGATAATTCAATTTCAAAGTTTAGCAAATGATTTGCCAGATGCTTTTACAGGCTTAAAAAGAGTGACTAAGTCATATATTCCAGCTGCTAATGCTCCTTGAAAGCATCTAGGCTCCTAGTTGGGTTTCGGTGATTAATGACAATACGTGATTACTATGACTAACGTGTGTTTTGCAGAGGCAATTAAGTTAGGTCATGGTAATGGAGATCGATTGGGCAATCAAGGTGGTCATGCCCCTATGATGGAAATTGTTTTGGTTTTCGAAGGATGGACGACAAGGTTAAGGATGGACTAGTTATAAGTGTTGATTGGAGTTGAGGAGACACTTAGAGTAGTTTAAGACTTTGTTTTTCCTTTGACCGTACAATTAGAGGGGGTATGGACGGGTAGCTTGACCTAGGTGAGTCTAGTGAGTTAGGTGTGGTGCACACTTGTCAAAACTAGCACTAGGTAGCTCCAAAATAACCCTTAGATTCATTGGAACAAACTTCATTCACGTATGATCGAGAGTTGGAAGTGAATGGAGGGTCAAATACTGACCGGACGCTGGTTCCGGGTCGATCGGACGCTGGCGTAGAGTCCGGTCAGTTCATTTGACTAAGGTGATTGTCTCAGGTGAGACCGAACGCTAAGAGGTGAAGTGACCGAACGCTGAGAGCCAGCGTCCGGTCGACTCCAGTAAGGTTCCAGAGAGGGGAAGTCACGATCGGACGCTGGCCAGCGTCCGGTCACACCGTAAACACTAGAGTTCGGGGAGAACTGACCGGAGCGTCCGGTCACCCCGCAGAGGCACATAACGGTTCATTTTTTAGCCCATGTTATAAATACCACCTCCACTCGTGTGTGGGGGTACTTTTGCTCATTCCAACAACTGAGAAACACCTTAGAGAGTGCCAAGAAGAGCAAGGTCCTAATGAGGTGATTAAGATTTGAGAATCCCAAAGAGAGCCCTTATTAGTAAGATCAAGAGTAGGAAAGTGTGCATCCATCCTTCTCATTAGGCTTGTCGTGGTCAAGTGAGAGTTCGTGCT